GATTTATAGTAATATGCTGTATTTTGTACTGCGTGTGTGAAATTTCAGCAAGATTGAAGAGATTATGGATAAAGATGCTTATAAAGTATAAATGGAGATACTAATTGTGAGTAACAAAGTTAAGCTTCTTTCCACAATAGTAGTAAGAAAATATCTTCGAAAACATAAAACAATGTAAACACGTAACATTGTCGTTGTATCATCATTGGTTTGGCTACTATTAAAATCTAGAAAGTGTTGACCTTTACATATAGGCTTTTGCATAACTTCGTATATTTTTCATTGGTCTATTCATTGGAATTATCCTAGCCAAGTTGATGGGCTCTTGTACATTTATCTGAAAACTAAAAATAAGTTCGTATTTTTAAACTTTTTTATTGCTATGATTCAATAAGCAGAGTAGTGGCTTCTAGAATTAACTGTAATGTTTTGTAAGGAAATTTTATAAACCTTCAAGGTCAGTTTACATATTATATTTTTCCAGATTAAAAGCACTAACTACATTGTAAGAAAAGGTTTTATTTGGAAATATGTATGATAGATGTCTGAGATAATCTCAGTTTATTGCCTATTGTCCCTGCTTAAGTTATATGGTCACCCTATTTAGAATACTTTTTCCAGTTTTCATGTGTAATTTTTGATTCTCGTAGGGCATACAAATGTTTTCCTTGTACTGTATTCTGTTGTTTTGAATGAATAAAGTACTTCTCCATGATGTTAGTTTCTTTTGTCATCAGAGAATAGTAGGGAAACATTTCTACAGAATAAAATTAGTATGATGAATTAAATGCAGAAAAAAAAAACCAATGACACTTTGTGACTTCTATCTCAATGCAACATTCTGTGTATTTTGTAAGTGCATGTAGTTCAAAGGGCCAAATAGCTGTATATTAATAGTTTTTCGCTAAAAAAAAATAGCAGTCCCCTGACCTTTACCATTTTTTTCCCTTGAGACAAAACATTTCTCATCTTCTAACTTACTATTTTCTTTCTTTCCACTTTTGTGAATAGCATACTTATAACACTACTACATTTTTTCCAGTTTTAGACATTCTTTATTCATTTAGATGTCCTCTTCTCCCCAAACTCACCACACATACACACTCTTCTCATGTCTACATCCTTCTTAAATATATGTATTAAAATTTTGATTATATTAAATATCAATATTTGGTGTTTATTTTTTATGACCTTACCAACACTCTCTCGGTTAAACTGCATGGTAAAAATGATTGTGCTCTCTCTCCTACGCAGCTTTTTTCTCCCCTCTTAAAGCTAATAGTTGTCTTTTTCTGGCTTACTTTTTCTGTATTTACCATAAATGTATTCGAAACTCTTCTGTGATGTGGCAGGAATTCCAACAATTTCAACTTCGTAAAAAAGGCTGCTCTAGAACCTTCACTTGATCCAATAAGGAGTGGGGGATGGTTTCACAATGATTCAAGCACATTACATTTATTACATTTGCAGCCGCTCCCCAGTGCTAGCATCACCGCCTCAGCTCCACCTTAGATCATCAGTCATAGAGTCTCATAAGCAGCGCACAACCTA